TTTAATAAAATGGAGTACTACTCAGCCATAAAGAACGAGAAACCTGAGACATTTATAGCTAAATGGATGCATATTGAGGCCATATTCTTAAGTGAAATAAATAGGACACACATGTGTAAATACCGAATAGTTTCTCTAGTGCAAGAAACTGAAAGTGTAAATAAGAATTAAAATGATTAAAACGAATAATTGATAATTTGAAATAGGGAGAAAAGGTCTAAAGGGGTAAGGGTGGTGGGAGGGGAAGGGGAAAGGAAAGGAGGGAAAGGAAAAATTATGAGAAAAGAAAAAAAATGGAAACAAAGTCTATGTAAACAGGGAAGGGTGGAGGAGGTGAAGGGCACACAGGTAATGGGGGAAAAAATAAGAACCAAGATACATCATGTACAGGTACAAGCACCCAATGATTAATGTAAATGTATTGTTTACCTAAAATGTACCAATAAAAGAATTTAAGGAAAAGAAAAAAGAAAATGTCTCTGTGTAACAAGTCTGTTGTATGAGTTGTTGTTCATTTTTCTCACTAGTTTCAGACTTTTCAATTCTTTTGAGTCAAAAGAATCTCCAAGTTCTATTTGTTCTTCCTTCTGTTTTCTGCTGCCTCCTCTCCAATTCTATGGCCTCAATTATAGTTCAGTCCTTTATTACCACACACCTAAATTATTAATAATTGCCTTCTTTTATGGTATTAGCTTTTTTATTATGAAATATCACATATAATGTGAGCCTATAGCATGTTATACTTCAGTATTTTTAAGTATTATTTAGAACACAATAAAATGAACAAATGTACCCCTACCCTGCATACTTACTTGAAAGGCATATATGTATTCTGTATTTCTAAAGTATAGGGTTAAATATATGTGTTAAGACAAAACTGTTTACTTTTGCTCAAAGCTGTTATGGCATGAGGTGTCCTTTGGTAAGCCACCCCTTGACAACAGTCACATTAGAAAACTTGGAAGCAGATCCTTTGGCCTTTTAGATCCTGCAGCCTAGCCAAGTGCCTGGCTGCAGCCTAACCAGGGACCTGGAGCCAAAACCACCATGGTAAACCATTTCCAGGAAGTATACAGAATAATAAACATATGCTGCTTTAAGCTTTTAAATGTGATAGCAACTCATTACATATTAGTAAAACAACTAATATACCTTGTGAATCTGAAATTATCTTTATTCTATCTCCTCCCTTGGTTGGACATTTTGCTGGCTATCAGATTCTAGTGTGAAATATATTTCTATCAAAACTCTGAGGGCATTGCTCCACTGTCTTCCCATTCCCAATGTCACAGCTGAGAGATTCAAAGCCATTCTGATTTCTGATGTGACCTGACTTTTTGGGTGAGCAGTAGGGACATTTGTAGATATTCTCTGTCCTCATTTATCTCAAGCTTCACGATGACTGCAAGTTTCATCAAAGGGGGCTCCTCTCAACATGGAAAAAAACATGTCTCTTAATTCTGGGACGTTTTCTTGAGTTCCTTTATTAATGATTTTTTTCCCCATTCCTCTCTTCCTGGAGTAACTATTATTCAGACCTCTCAGCATGCTTTTTAATCTTCCTACTTATTTTTTTTTAAATGTGCAAAGCCTATTCTCTTTTCCTATACTTGCAGGGAATTTTCCCAGCTTTATTCCTGATATCAGAATATTCCCTTTTAAAAGCATCCTGTTCTTAACTCATAGCTATGATGTATTCTATCTCACTAAAGGTACTAATTGTAGGCAGTTTTTAAAAATTTCTTTCCCTGCATAATCTATTTCTTTTGAATTTCTCCTGTGTTTGTTTAGTCACTACCTTCCATGACTGAAGCGCTAATCGCATATCTGGCACCTGGATTTCTGCTCACGTTCAAGAGTAGAAAATTAAGGAGCTGACTGGAAGGTCTACGCCTATGTCCATTCAGAACTTAATCTGCAAGATGATACAATGGGACCAAGCTACTGACATGAGAAAATGTGCGTTTTAAAGAGTTACTGGATGATATCAAATTTCATACATTTTCTCCTACAAATGATGATTAATGAATCTTTTTGCATTTCCTTTTTTTTTATACAACAGAGCATATAATACAGAGTACTGCTTCTGTGAATTTGATCCTAACAGTGTTCTCTGGACTGAATGATCTCCTCTTGCTCCCTTCAGGATCTGAAGAAGCACCATCTTCTGCAGGAGGTGCTGCCTCATGAGCAGCAGCCGAGAAGGGTGCCTCTTCTTTCCTGAGAACATCTCCTATGCTGTCCTTACTTGTCAGTTGCTCAGCTGCTTTACATTAACATTAAAAGCTTCAAGTGAAAGACTTGGCCCTAAGATACAAATCTTCTAAAGGACAATGACCTGGTTTTACCTCCTTCAGCACCATGACTTAGAATGATGGGCAATATAATAATTTGCTAGTGATAATGATTACAGGTAGTAAAATAGTCTATGGAGTTTTTCATTATGCAGATTATTTACCTCATTCAGCTGTAACTGTAGACCATTGACTTTATCCAATAGTATTCTTTGTTCTTGCTGAATTTTTCTCAACCTGTCTTTCAAATCTTCATTTTCAACCTCCAGGTCCTTAATAATAATAAAAAAAACAGACAATATTAAAGAGCAATTCATTTTTTTTTTTTTTTTTTTTGGTACCGGGGATCGAACTTGGGTCCTTGCGCTTGCACAGCAGGCGGCAAAACCACTGAGCTAAATCCCCAGCCTTAAAAAGCAATTCTTATAAAAGCAATTTATTTTTTCAGTACTGGGGATTTAACCCAGAGCCTTTGCACTGAAGTACATCCCCAGATCTTTTTAGTTTTTTTAAAATTTTGAAACACAGTCTCACTAGATGGCTCAGTTCTCTAGGCTGGGCTCAAACTTGTGATCATCCATCCCACAGCCTCCCAAGTAGTATTTCCAGCATATGCCACCTTGCCCAGCTAAAAGAAATTTTTAAAAGCAATTCACTATCATATACAGACATATACACATACAAAACAATTTTAAGTATATATGATACAACAGTTTCAATGACAACAAAATGACTGAAAATCTAAAGATCAGTAATAAAATTACTGTCCTATGATAGCTAATAAATACAAATAGTAAAGAGAGCAAATAATTATGATTCCAATAAATAAAGGTAACACCTTAAAATAGAAAATAGCACAAGAATATGCGATTTTAACTTTTGCTTAAGGCATCCCAAGTTTGTGAGAGTATTCTAATGCTTCCATTAAACTATCATTTCAGGGCTCTGATAAAACATTAAAGGCTCCTACTTAAGGCTACAGCTCATGTCCTTAACACTACATAAGAAATTAGAAAAATCAACTAAAATGCTTTTATGTTATTATATTGAAAACAGGTAATTAATTTATAATTTAATGATGTTTTACTCATAAGCTAATCACAGATTCTTTCTTTAAACAAAATCCATCAAATAATTACTTTTAGATAACTGATCAACCTAAAAGATGAAAAGCATGGTGTGATTAGTTTTACAAAATCTTTTTCTTAATCAAAAGTACTTTAACTAAAAGTTTAATTTTATTTACATTAGTGAACATTACCTGTATCACCTACTTAATTTCCCAAATGAACATAAAGGCATGCTTTGCATCACAAAGATATATCTAAATCAAAAGAGTTATATATACAATTGTTAAATTATGTGCCTTTTTTCCTGATATACTTTAAAGCAATACGTTCTCTACCATACCTCTAATGTTATATAATTTAAGGATACAATACCAACTCTAACATTCCTCAGAAGTCAATTGTTACAGGAGAGGTGGTGCGAGCAAATAGTCACAGCTACAGCCAGCCTCTCTATTCATTTCACCTGTTCTCTTGCTCCCTCTCTTCTCCATCCCACTACAAATACCTCTGGAATTCCTTTTAAAGGCAAATACTAATTGTTTTTTCTCTTTACCTGAATGTTTTGATGCTCCCTCTGACTGGACTTCATGTTTACTTCATCTTGTACATGTGCCAAATGCCGCTTTGGGAAAACATTAAGAAAAGGCAGGTTAAACAAGTATGAGAATACAGGAAAGTATTATAGCTTTCTTACTAGGCAACACACCCAATCTGCTTGCAGTTCATCCAACATTAAATTTCGCTCTATGGAACACAAGGTGGCAGTATTTCCATTTAAATCCCCCAAATAGAAAGCATCTTTAAGGACATAGGCTTGAATAAATCAAATATAATTCCTTTGAAAATACGAATCAAATGTTTAAAACTTAAGGATTTATCTTATCTCAAGTTACAAAATTTTGACAAGAAAAATTTGTACTAGACACAAAATGAAAGTTGTAGTATAAAGCATCACCTACCACTTCCAAAGGAAGAATTTAGTTTAAAAAAAGAATGGGGAAGAGGAAGTCACATTAAGTTTGAAAGACAATATGGAGATTATTTACTTCTCTGAGCACTGCTAGAACAAAAGAGGTGTGTTAAGGAAGAGACAGGCAATCCTTTCTATACAACAGGTCTCTAAATAACGTGGTGGGGGATATGTTCTGTTTTTGTAACCTGCTTGCTGCCTTGAAACTTTATTCCCGTTTATAAGATTGCATTAGCAAAAACACGACACAGTGACTAGACAAGAAAATGACATCGTTTTTTTTCTTACTCAGATCAGTCTTTAGACCTGGCACAATGATTCATTTTGAAAGCATCTCTCTCCTTGAAATTTTTAAGGTACTGCTTTAATTCTCTAAGAATTTTTTTTCATACGTCTTATTACTTGTTGACTTGTTTAATAGTTTTTAAAGTATCATTCTAATGTTTCTGGATCTAGAATTGGAGGGATAGGCTCCAGATTAAAAAGATCTCCTATAGCCACAATTTGGTTCAAACTACGTTCTAGTTCCTTCCTCCTACCAAGGGACTGTTGTTCAAGTGGAATCTGTGGTCTGCTCCCAGCTATCTTCATCAAATCACTTTCATCCCCAGTCATCACATGGAATCCTCACCCACTGCCTCCACTCGCCACCCCACCTTGCTGAGACACACGATGTCAACCCCATCCGTGAAGATCCACCTTCCTGACAAAGCCTTCTTTTATCTTTCTGAGGTCCTGAGGATTGAAACAGGGCCTGGTGCATGCTAGGCAAGCACTCTACCACTGGATCAACACCCTCACCCCAGTCCCACAAAACCTTCTGAGTACACTGAAAAACCTCCCTTACACCCCAGGCTCCCTGAGATGGTGACTGCCCGCAGCACTGACTGGGGTCTTCATCCTGCCTTCTGCTAGTATCTTCACAGTACAGGTACTTAAGCTGTTACCTGGTTACTTTATCAGTCTTCTCCTGCTCCCACCACCAAATGCACATGGCCCCCAGGGACAGCTAAATATGCTCCCTCATCGAGGGCTGAGGAGTCATGTTTTTTTCTGTCCATGAGGCTTCTTCCACAATCCCTCACTTTCTCCCCCTTCATCCCTTAACCCTGTTTTTCTCGGTAACATCTACTATGATATTAAATATTCATTTGTGTATTGCTCAGTGGTTGGGTTGTTTTTGCAGTACTGGCCTGTGCAGGCCAGACAAATGCTTTACCACTGAGCTACACCCCAGCTTTGATTACAAGCACGGAAGCCCCCTGAGGGCAGGGACTGTATGTATATACTACAATATCCTAGCACTTAGGATAGAACTGGCACATTGTAGGTGTTCAGTGGTTATTTGTTGAGCAAACAACTAAGTGCTGCTTATAACCATATTGCAGTCTTCTTGATCAAAGGGATTACATAGCCCTTAGTACAAGAATAAATCCTACTTGCAGCAGGTATTCTAAAAGTATATTTAATAAATAATAGAAACAGTAATTAGGAGCCATTAGTCTTGCTGTTCCCAGTAGAATATTGACTCTTTATATTCACTTAGCTAATTCCTAGGGCCCTGAGCAGGGTACCATTCCCATAACAATATTCAATAATTCTTTAGCCTAAATATCTGCACATTTCAAAACTCATTTTCCTCTGATTCTACATGAGATGGCTGGTCCAGACATACAATGTACATTTTATTTTATTCTACTCCACTTAAGATGTCTGAGGAACAGGGAGAAGGAGGTTGAAAACAACTGGTCCAGATGGGAAAGAAGTGCCAACAGACATGACCCACGCGTGAATGCACTAGTTAATTACAATGGACAGAAAAGGAAAACAAGCCATAAAACAGCTTTCAGAGAGGAGAGAGGTGGAGAAATGATGCGGAATGATGATGAGTCGTGCTCTGAAGGTACCTGATTCCTTTCTTTCCAGGGTTTGGAAGTGCCGGGTTCCTCTCCCTACAGAAAAGCTGAAAGCCTGGAAGGGAACAGCCAGCAGAAGAGGAAAGCTGCCTACACTATCTTTGGATCCAGAGTGCCATAAACCAACCCCACTTTAGCTTGAAGAGACAAGAGGCAAACATAAGACATTTACTCAATCTGTGACACAAAACCAGGGTTAAATTGCAATGTTAATAAAATTAGTACAAAGTATGAATTGTTTCATGTATTATGTTATTTTTTTAAACCCTCAATTAAATACACAAGAAAAAAGACACTAAGAAGAAATAAAAATACTAGCAGTGATATCTGACTCACAATATATAATCAACCTTGAACTCCGTTTTCTTCATTTCTCATTACATTGAAACCATTTTCCCATAATAGTGTATTTGACTCTGTATGGGAGATTAGGGAAAAACTGTCTATGATCTACCATGCTAAAATTCATCATTTAAGAATCTCAACAAGGTACATTATGAAAAGGCTGGATGTTCAAGGCCCCGATCAGGAAGCTACTTCCCATTGGATACATTCTCTGGAACTAAGATCCATTTTCCCAGGCTGACTGACAGAATCCTAATGGAACCTCGTGACCTTAACACTTGGGTTCTATATATTCTTATGACTGAGGAGAAAGCATGCATGAAACCCAAAACAGCTCACTATGTCATTAACTAGCTTTATGAAGCACTTAAACTGCACAATAGACACAATTTTAAATTTAAGATCTACCTGTTGCAAAGATGGTCCTTTCTTCCAAAGTTCTCTCCCTAAAGATTTAAAGAGAGAAAAACAGTGGAATAGCAGGGTAACAAGGGTAGACATGCATTCCCTAACTATGCAAATGAGTTGATATTAAATGAATAAACTTTAAAGTTTCCTCTAAAACTTACTACTTCTTGGTTTTCTTTGCAAAACTTATGCTTAAAACAACATTGAGCTAGCATTTTTGCCTAATTAGCATAGTTTTTTAAAAATATAATATTCAAGTAGTATGGAAGGTAATTTATCAATATATACCTGAAAGCTTACAAAAATGTGGATACCTTGAAACCCAGTGATTATAGATAGGAACTGATCCTAAGGGCATAATAAATATATGCTAAAATATTTACATGTAAGGACATACTAGTGAAAAACTGTAAATAAGTAAAAACTCCCCATAGGACATAGATTTATTAAATGAAATTTAAATAAATGAAACCTGATGCATCCATAAAAATTATACTATAAAATATTTATGAGGGGAGAGCCTTCAAAATGTGTTATACATAAAAGTAAGTTACAACTCAGTAGTATAGGTGACCTTGATCGTACAGGTAAGGAAATGATATAAAAGATATGCTTCCAAATGTTAATAGAGGTTCATTGGTGGTAGGATGAGTAATGAGGTTTATTCATTGTGCTTCTCTGTATTTTCCAATTTCTCTTTCATAAACATAGAAAAATATTTGGCACAGGCATTCAATACATCAGTTGAATATTTTATACATACATGTAAACAATGATTCTTTCTTTAAAACTGTATAAGTACAAAAGTCAGGAGCCTCACTCCTCTTTTATCAAAAAATATTAACAACTATAATTTTTATGTGTCAATTACAAGTACCACTAAAACACTTCAGTTGACTCTTCCTTCTAGGTTCTTAAATCAGCCCCCAATGTATTAGGGTCTACCTGATAAACTAGACAATATATGTGACACAAATTGCCTTGAAACAAGAGACTATGATGCGAAGTAATCAAGTCCCTGGTAGAGAAGAAGAACCAGCACTGTTTCTCGCTTCTATTATCTAAGTCTTTAAAAGCTGCTCTTTATTAACCCAGATGTTTCTAGTCACAGAGAACGAATGGTACCTTTACTGGTATTTTCCATTGCAGTCTTCAGTAAAGCTAGAATGTCCAGATTGTCACCAATTCGCGCATAGTAAGAACTATCGTGGCCAAGGGCGTCCAGCAAGCTTGCATCTGCACCATTTTTAATTAAGATTTCCACCGCATCTCTGCATCCATACTCACAACCCAGCATGAGAGCAGTTCTAGAAGGATAGTGGAAGAATACAAAACCTTGAGGAAAACCCACGGAACTCCTCAAATGCCTTCTTAAAACAGACACTACTTTAACAAGTTATATTCATTATAGACACAGATTTTACTTTAAACTTTCAGCTTGCATTTTAACTTCATCACATTATAAAAACATGTCTTTAGCTTGCAAAGCAAAAGTCTTATATCCTCATATATACTTTAATTACTCCTACCAACAAGCTAATCTACTTTACTCCCATTCTTCAATATCTATAATACCACAAAAATTTTCTATGACTAATGTTACTAGCCTATCTCCTCAAAACCCAGCTATTCAAAGTCCTTTCATAAGCTGAATCACATAGTACAAACTTCCCCTACAAATTCCTCTCCTCCCAGAAAAGAATCAGTTTTTGTTCTCAATGTCCTGTTGAAAAGAGCTTTTTTTTTTTTCCTTCATGGGAAACTTTCATGTCTTTAGATTTCATTTGAAACTTGTCTTCTCATATAGAGTTTCCTCAACTACCTTCAGGCTCATGTGGACGATGGCTATATTCTGCCTATAGAATCTTTAGTACTTAAACATTTCACAGTATATTAGTAAACAGTAATCAGGTAACAATTACATTGTCATGAAAACTTAGGAGGAATCTAGAATTGATTTTGTCAACTTGTCTGTTTTTACTGCTTTTCATAAGGCAACATACTCTTGCCTTTATTCTTCTATGTATGTGTTCTTTCTTAAACAGCCACCCTGTCCCCATAGTTGCCGGTATAAAATTCTATACAAACAGGCATTAAAGTTTACATTATTTGATTTTTAAAATGCTAAAGGTAAAACAGGAAACACTTGCATACAGAGTGTTGGAAACTATATGTTAAAAACCATCTGCTGCCTGGGGATTTAGCTCAGTGGTTCCGGCGCCTGTCTCACAAGCACAAGGTCCCGAGTTCGATCCCCGGCACAAAAAAAACCCAAAAAAAACCCATCTGCTAATCTAGTTTCTTCACTATATATTTCTCTAATTCACTGGTGTGTGTGTGTGTGTGTGTGTGTGTGTGTGTGTATGTGTGAGAACTTCCAATGTAGGAAAAAATGCTCTGAAAAATATAAGGCATTATATGTGGATCAACTAGATCATTCCTCTCTGATCCAAAAATTTAATTTTAAAGTCAAATTTTCTTTGTCATACTTGGAACCAGCTTATTGTATCTGCAAAAACAAAGTAATATGAAAAAGTCACTTTTTCAATCACATTAATGATTTAGTTGCTTAAGAATTTCCTCCTTTCAGATGTCTGAACATTAAAAACAATTAGAGGGTCAGGGATTTAGCTCAGTGGTTCCATCACCTGCCTTGCAAGTGCAAGGACCCGTGTTCAATCCCCGGTACCAAAAAAAAAACAATTAGAGCTATAAAATCTGACATCAAAAGACTGTTTTATTGTATTTGTCTACTTCTGATGAACTACTAACAATAGGGTATATGTTAAAAAGAATAAAATTAAAAAGAATAAATACTGTATTAGTAATTATCTATAAAATCTCATAAATTTTAGTTACAATTCAGCTAATTGGGGGGAAGTATTTCAGATATTTGTCATCAAAAATTTTGTGACCATAAACATCAGAATTATTATCTAGCAAGCACCAGGATACACTAGATCTAGAGGAGAAAGGAGCATTATGGACAAAAACCACTAGAGCGTACCAACTACAAGACATTCAAATATAGGAGGACAAATAAACTACAGGAAGCTTGAGGTACAGAAATAGACTCACTTTCAGAGGAGGAGACAGTACTGTACCTGGCAGGTTAAGGAAAACAAGCACCTCAAGGTGAACTAAACTGACACATCTCAAGTTCAGGACATCCAAGAGCCACTTGACTCTCAAAAGATTCATGTCTTCTTGGTTCAGTTTTGGTAATTCAGATGTGTCAAGGAATCTGTCCATTTCTTCAAGACTGTCCAGATTGGGGGAGTACAATTTTTCATCATAGTCACTAAAGATCTTCTGGATTTCAGTGGTGTCTATATGATTTCACCTTTTCTACTGATGTGGGTCTTCTTTTGGTAAATCTGGCTAAGGGTTTGTCTATTTTGTACTTTCAAAGAATCAGCTCAATTCACTAGTTCTTTATTTTTTTTTTTAGTTTCAATTTCATTAAAGAGTACGACTCTGCTTAAAGAAGGATAAATTTGAGTCATTTGTAGGAAAATAGATGTACCTTGTTAACCATAACGTTAAGTGAAGTAAGTCACGGAAGCTTAAATACTACATGGTTTTTCTTTTAATAGAAACCCAGAATAAAAATAAATTAAAGAGAAAAATAAAAGATAAGACAACAGGAAGCAGGTAGCTAGATCTTTTGTAAATGAGAAGGGGACCAAGAGATGGAAGGAAGATGAATCAAAAAGAATTAAGCTGTGTTAGCATCATGTACTGAAACATGTAGTAATAAAAATAAAAATTTAAAAAGATTCACAAGTGAAGAAATAGACTGTAGCTGTAACTTTATTATTCTTCTCCTATATTTATTTATGCCCATTTTTATTACTGATTTCTAAAAGCTTAAAATAACTGGGATATAGCTCCTCTTTCCTTCAGTTCTCTGACCCAAATATAGGCCCTAATCATTGCTCTTCACTCAGCTCTCATACTATCCTCTTTCCCTACTTCCCATCTTCCTTTTTGCAGCCTCTGGAGAAAATTGCAGGCTAATTCCACGAAAGAGTAGGCCAAGGAAAGGGAGAGGTGAGGGGGATGGAAAGGCCCGGTCACAGCAGCAGAGTTGCTTAATTGCTGTGCACCCAGCAGCTACCTAGCAGCCCTGATAAAACAATTACCTGTTTTGTTTGTCCCTGGAATTGATATCCGCCCCTCTATCTATCAGCAGTTGACATATTGTTGGCCTGCACATCTGAGTGGCCAGAACAAGTGGTGTTCGCCCATCCTAAACAAAAGAAAGATAAACCAGCATTAAGAGAACAAGTCTCCCAAAATGTAGCAGTTAGAACATAAGAGTGGAACTAAGAATAAACAAACTGACTTACTATGTCCTTGGCATTCACGGAGGCCCCATGGTCACAGAGCAGCTGGATGCTGGAAGGACAGTCTGCCATTGCTTTAGAAACAAAGAGAAATGATAAGTGGTGAACATCTGCAGGAAGACACATGGTGTCTGTCTAGCTCCATATAAGGCAACAGAAGTTCTTCAATTTCTCTACTACCAAGCTTCACATCCTTCCATCTCAGTTTAGCACTGCAAGCCTCAACTTTCCATCTTAAAGTGGATTAGACAAAATCATTTTATAATTTTCTAAGTAATTTATTAGGATCAAGGGATAGTGTCAGCCTCATAGAAGATAAGAATATGCTACTAATCTAAGTGTGAACATAGATAATAAAAATCAAAGTTACATTTTCTATTTAGTCTATTTTTAAACATGGCTAAAACTGCCTTGATTCTTAAAGTAGGCTCAGTCTTTTAATGATTTCTTTTTATAGAAAAGCCACAGTTAACAAATGATGAACCACACAATTCGTATTTCCTTTTAAGAACAGAAATATCTGCACTTTAAAGTAGGTCATCTTGTTAAAAATTAATTGTAAAAATCACAAGGTGCTTCTTTTTAACCAATACTAGACTTCATATTCATATTAAGAAAACATTTCTGTTAAATTCATAAAATAGCATTTATACCCCCATTGATTTTTTCAAAGCCATTTGATTATATATGTATAATTAGCATAAAAAGAACAGTCAGCATTCTTTTTTTCTTTAGTGAAACAATAGAATTAAACTAAATACACATTAAGAAAATCAAGTAAATTTTCATTCCTTATGTCTCTAACCCAGCAAATCTTTTATGTAAATGCATAATCAACCTTAATAAAAAGTAAACTGAGTATATTAATTCAGAAACTATAAAATTTATAACTATCAGTTCAACTCTAGATGAGAACAACAGATAAAAAGCACAATAAACTCCTGAGTTTTTATACACTTAACATGTGAGTGGGTATTAAAGATGCTATGGCACAGAGGGTGAGCTGCTCACTGATGTCAAATCACTCTTTCTTTCATGAAAACAAAACTGCCAGGCATACAATGTCCACAAGACTACATTTTCCATCCTCCCCCAACACCCAGTAAAGTGTGACTGTGACTTACAGCTTGCCAATGAAACCTGACAAAGGTGAGGTGTGCTACTTCCAGGTCTAGGCTTTAAAAGACTGGCTATGATTTCCTCCACAATCATCTCCTTCCTGTGAGCTGGAACTCAGAGGGACCTGCTAAAGTTGAGGACAATTCTAGAAGATAGCAGAACTGCAAAAATGGAAGCAATCTGGGACCTGAATGACCCTGTGGAGCAGAGGCACCAGCTAATCTAAACAAGACTATTATTTATGATGGCTTTGAAGTAAGTAGCCATTGAAATGAGGTAGAAAATGTTGAGTCCAGAAATAATGACAAAAAATAAAGGAGCCATGGGTTCATGTGTTCAGAAAACAACTTTAGACATAGGTCTTAGCATATAGAAGCAGCTGGTAACATAACAGAAACCAACCAATGTTGTAAGGGAATCATCCTATTCAAAACTCCAAAAGCCCAGTTGGCTAAACTCTATTCCAGGCTTAAAGTGCCTCCACAAAGGGGATCTCTCTCCAACATCCAATTTATCTGTAAGCCTGGAGAATAATGCAAAATAAGGCATTCTCAGAAGGGACAGCCAAGACCCAGAGGACAAGAGATAAGGGATTTTCCCTGTAAAGAGAAGAAGAAGATGGCAGCAGCCAGTAGATCTAACCAAGAACTTTACTCAAAGCTCAGGAGGAAATGTGCATGTTTTGCTCAGCAGGACTTGCTACCTGTTACTACCCTTGACTGTTCTCCCCTTTCCGAAAGGAAGTCTTTATTTCACTTATCCTGTCAGTGCTTCTTCACTGTATACTGAGGGAGACAAATGCCTTTTTTTTGAATTTACAGGTTACTGGACCACGAAGTCACCTCAGAGCCTGAAAGAGAGCACTGCACATAGAGGAATCCTAGACATTAAACTAGATGCAGAAATGGAACTAGTTTATGTATTTTTCCCCTGGGAAAGGGATACAGGGTTCTATGTGTGGGAAGTAGGGGATACATAAATATCTGGAAGGCCCAAGGGTTGGACTGCAGAAGCTGATACTAAAGTTCTTTTAGAATTGCAACAAAAATGTCTCCATACTACTAATACACACACTGAGCAAATATTAAGGTATGAAACAATCAAGTTGTGCCAGTTTTAAATACATGGACAATAAGACAGAAGCTCATACAACTCATGATAATGTATGTAAAAATGCTTTATAAATAATACTATTGTGTATAAAAATAAAAAAGAAAATACATTGAGTGAGAAATTAAAATACCATGAAGGAACCTAAAATGCAAAAAGAAGAAACTGAACAAAAATTAAGGTATAAAAACATAAAGGAAAACCAGGCATGATGGAGTATGCCTGTAATCTTATCTACTTGGGAGGCTGAGACAGGAGGATCAAAAGTTCAAGTTAGCCTAGGCAACTTAGACTATGTCTCAAAATAAAAAGCCCTGGGGATGCAGTTCAATGGTAGAGTGCTTGACTAGCCTGCATAAGGCCCTCAATTTAATTTTCAGTATTAAAAAACCAAACAAACAAAGAACTGAAGGAAATTTTAACTATAATATATCTTTAATGCAGATAACTTTAATTTATGCAAATATTCTATATATTGTACATAAAAAGAGAGAATAGGATATTTTCTTTCCTTGGCCTTCTAGTAAACTGTAAGAATTTCAGATTTAGAGGAGTCAAGCTAGCTATCTTACATTTCAAAAATACTTAAACTTTTTTCAGTGTACTTTCTCTTTTTTTTTTTTTTTTTTTCGGTACCAGGGATCAAACTCAGGTCCTTGGGCTTGCAGGGCAGGTGGTGGAACCACTGAGCTAAATCCCCAGCCCCAGTGTACTTTCTTTATAGAGAATAATGCAGACAAGTTAGATGCACAAGTATAATTAATAAAATTAGTGAAATGACTAGTAAAATCTTTTTTAAAATATAGCACATTACCATGATATGAAATTCAGCACTGACATCTCTAAATTCAGCACTGACACCACCATTAATTAAGAACTTACTATATGTCAGGCATTATTTATGATTTACTTATAACTACTTATTGCAATTGTATGATTACCTTCATTTTGCAAATGAGAAACATTAGGTTCAGGCATATTAATTACATAGACACAGTTTTAGAAAGAGAAAAGGCCTTTCTCCCACCAGTTCTCAAATACACACACACACTGTCTGCCCCACCTGACTTCTTTCCCTCTCTTTCTCTCCCTCTTCCTCTCTCTCCTTTCCCCCTTCTCCTCCTTCCTCCTTCTGTCTCTTTCTCTCCCCTCCTTTCCTTATTTCTTCTCTTTCCTTCCTCCCTTGGAGCTCCAGGACAGTAGGAAGATGCTTGATCCATCCTATGCCCTTAGTATCTTAGCAAACTGGCCTGTTAATATTGACTGAGTAAATCTTTTTAAGCTGCATGCTCAAATAAAATTCAAACAGGAGTACACAAAGTGTTTAATATTATTTCTCCGTGAGTTACATATTAATATATAATTATCATATAATATTAATATATAATTAATATATATTAAAACCTTGAGATTAATTTTAACGGCTACACATTTTAACACGTTTGTGTCCAAGTGAAACCTTCACTCACCTGCATCATGAAGTGCAGTCCTTCCATGAAGGTCCACATGTTCAGTGGGACAATTATACTGTTAAAACACAGAAACTTGGTGATTTAAGAGTCTTATTTTAAAATTCAATATCCAGACTCAAAGGAACAGCTGCTATTTAATCTTAAATTATTCCACTTTTCAAAGAAACTAAAGACTTTCAGACAATCTACTAAATATTTTGACATGAAACAAATATAATAACATAATATAAGTGTAAATTTAACAGTATTTCACCAAACAGGAAACATATGGTCCACTACAATTGCATGGGATATTGAAAATATGTTATTGTTTGGGTTTTTGTTTTTCTTCAGCAAGAGTTAAAGTGAACCACTGAATTAGCAGAACAAATCACTGCTGCTGTGCAACTTGGTGGCAAATGTATAACCAGGCCCTTTGACTGAAACCTTAAATCAGCCAATTGGTTCACAGAATTTTGTGGTTGCCTGACTAAAAGTTTAACTATGCTAATATTACAGTCTAATTTATCTATGTATAGAAACATCTAAATCATATGCTGTATCACTTTATCTTATGCCATATTATAGACAGCAGAAAATTCCAATCTCCAGCTAATGTCAACAGGAAGGTCAAGTCTTTGTTATTTATTTTTAATTCATGGAGTTAAACAACTCACTTCCCTAGAGTTTTTGTTCTTTATTGTCTACCTTCCTTCAGAAACGATGGAAAAACTACTATGTAAACTAACAGTCAAAGTTAGCCTACCATTTTCTTTGATCTCAAATTTCAGAAGACATTGAAAACATATTATTTGCTGTCAAAATAATAAAACTAAAGTTTTTTTTAAATTTTATTTTCCTGATAGCAGGGATCAAACTGAGGACCTCGCACTTGTCAGGCAGGCGTGGGTGGCACCACTGAGCTACATCCTCAGCCCCCTAAAATTAATGTTTTAACCATTTCTACTACCTGCAGAAGTTTTTGTAGGCACAATGCATGTCCATACTTAGCAGCCAGGTGAAGTGCGTTTCTCCCTATAAAAGAAATAATTTAAAATATATATGAAGAATTATTTTCTTCATACATGAATTTTCATGAAAATATTACTCTTTGTTCTAAAATTATTTGACAAGATACTTAATTTGTAAGCAGGCTTTCGTTTCTAAGATGTTTCACTAGTTTGATATTTTAATAAGAAATGATGTACACCCCAAAGCAATGAAGGTGGGAAAAAATAATCACACAGATCCACAAAGAGCAAGGACTCCATCTTATTTACTACTGTATCTCCAGCACCTGTACAGTGCCTGAGTGAAGTTGGTAGTTGGATACTGGTACAGCAAAAAGAGGGGAAAAGACGAGACAGAATGGAGAGAAAAGAAAAATTTCACATAACATTTCTAAACATGCAATATGGAAATGGAGAAATAAGTACAAATCATGCAAAAAGTTTTCTCTAATTGCATAAGCTAAAATTTAAAGTTCATTATGAGATTGTGTCTCTAAAAATTAGACAACTTGTACAAATATAATGTGCAATAAAAAGTGCAATCTTGGGCTGGGGATTTAGCTCAGTGGTTCCAGCGCCTGCCTGCCTCGTAAGCGCAAGGTCCCAAGTTTGATTCCCGGTACCAAAAAAAAAAAAAGTGCAATCTGAAAGGAAATGCCAAAAGGGTTGGGGAAAAGAGGGAAAAGCTGACTCTGAACTCTCAAAAAGGGAAATTTGCAGAGAACAGCCTACCTCCACATATTCTTCTCTCCTAATTGTTTTTCTTTACACATACAGAGAGAATGTTTTAAAAAATTATTACAGTAAAAGACACATTGCCATTAATTCCCCTCAAAATACTCCCCCTTGCTTCAAATACACTTATCCAACCATTCTTGCCACTTTCTGAAGCAGCTCTGGAAGTCCTCTCTCATGAGTGTCTCTATGAAGTATGATTTTTTTAAAAAATACAGTGAATGCTGCTGCCGAGTGCCATCCAATGGAAAGGCAGTGTCATAAAAACATGATGGTGTGTCCTCGTCCACTTTTTTCACTAGATGTGGCACCACGTGACTTCTGGCTCTTCTTCAAAGTCAAAATGACCATGAAAGGTAAATGTTTTGAATCAATTCAGGACATCAAGATAGCCATGACAGCACAAGACACTCACAAAAGAAGATTTTCAGAACTGCTTCCCAAAGTGGCAAGAACAATTGGATAAGTGTGTTCATAGAAAGAGGGAGTAATCTGAGGGGGATTCATAGCAATGTTCTTTTACTGTAATAAATTTAAATATTCACTGTACTATTTGATCACACCTCCTTCATCTCTCTTAAATGGTAAAAGATACCAGGGTTTACTAGGCTAATCTAGCTTAGTTTTAATGCCCTTCATTTCCCCCTAACCTTTCAATTTCTCAAAGTATAATTTGACTTCACAAGTATGCCTTTCTGGTACAAAATAAGTAATTTATATTCTGATCATCTGATATGGATAAATAAGTTGCCTTCCAATTATATATGAGATTAGATATACTTTTCTTGGACCTAATGGCTTCTGGGTAGCTGATTAAGCAGATTCTTGAACTATGGGACAAGGTCTTCAAACAGGCCCAGATACAACATGCTCATCCGCATCCAAACATCCTCTCATTCCATGTCAGTCATGTGATCATTTCAAATTTCAATTTGCCACGGTTCCTGGACAAGACTCTTAGAAACATTTTATGTTGTGAAAAGTGACTAAACTGGAAGACAGAGTGAAATGTGGATAGCAGGGTTAGGCACAGTGCTAAAAGTCTCTGTTATTCAACAAAATGCTACAGAAACTTAATCACATAAAAATATCAGATCAGAGCTAAGGGAATACTAAATTCAGACATTTCAGATATGGGAGCAAAAAAAAAAATCAAGGAAACATCAGATCTCAAACATGGGATTTTAAGGAAAATCCCAAAGGTGGCAGAGTGTTGGGGAGGAGAGTTATCAGATACAGTAGTAACTTCTTGTTTTAAATATACTTCCATTTACAATAGAAGTTAGGGTAATTTACCTAAATATTTTCTACCAAATATCCACATGCAGATTATAATAGGCACTACAGCAGTTGAGAAAGATCCTTGTTCTCAAGAAAGGACAACTCTAGTGACAATACAATAAACAAGTTAAATAAAAATATAGCTAAATAGCAGCATAAACCAAAGAAAGGAAGAGCCAAGCAGAATTTGTTGGGATGCAGTATATGAAACAATGTCTGCCGAGCTTGGGAAAGCATTTAAATTTGATCTTCAAAGGAAGGAGGGCAAAAGTCACTAAATTAGTCACAAGGCAAAAATGTCCACAACAGAGAGAACACAGACAAAAACAAGAAAGATACACTTCCAAATGGAATCAGCACAATAAATTAGTAGTCTTAGGAGTTCCAAAGAGGTATAGTAATCTAAATTTTCTGAAACAACATATGCTTTCCATTGATATTTAAGGGGAATATTTAAGCAATAAACATATTTCTTTCTTCATTCTAAACAACAGAGTTTGGTCTTTCATTTAGAATTTGATGTAACTTTAGGTAAAGATTTTCCTCACTGACTCAATTGTGATCTGTTTCCCTCTCTCTCTTCCATTTCTAATTCTAATTCATTTTCTATCTCATTTCTCTTTCACTTCCGTGATGAATAACAGTAATATGTTTATTGGCTCATATATGCAGTCATAGGATAAAGTATTAAAGTTGTTAAGGACATTCTGTCCTATATGAACTCCTATGTTTGACTGAATAACAAAGTAGAACTACAGAGAACTAAGTTTTAAGAATTCTAGAGAACTGAGAATGGTTACCCTGGTAAGTAGAAAACCAAGGTTCTTGTTGAAGAAAAGCAATAGCTGTATTCATGTACACACAGGTCTACTTTGCTACGTAAGTTTAAACTATCAATTTTAATGGACAGATAAAGGTATAAATAAGTGGAAGCAGAAGAACAAGTAAAAAACAGATTTTCATTGTCTCTAAACATTTTCTATAAATATAATTTTTTATAAATATAGTTAGGCAAATATAGAATGGGTTCCTCTCATGAAGTATAATGGTTAATAACACAGACTTTGACTGCGACTCATCTATGGAAGGGACTCGGGCAAGGGATTTCACAGCTCAGTGCCTCATACCCACTGGGTTAATGTGAGGGTAAAATGAGTTAATACAGGTGAAGTGTGTAGAGTGAAGCTCTAAGTGGAGCAGTCACACACATGTTCTATAAATGCCAGCTATCCTTGTTTCTAACCTTGTGGAGGGGCCATTGTCTTCAGCAGTTAATTCTCTACCACAAAAAAATGTCCACCCCAATGCCAAATGGCCACGTGATGGAGAGGATTTGCACACAGTAGCATATGAATATAACCAAGTTTTCACTAAAGAGTCTTCAAAATCTGACAGTTTAGGATCCTATAACACAAGTAAGACCAGTACTAGCTGGTAGGTTTCCAACTGCGGTCCAGTAATCCTTTCTCCTAACCCTCTCTTCTCAATGATACCTCAGAAGTAAGCCTCTTCTCAACTATTTAAACCCAGAAAAATAAGGACTTCTCTTTTAAAGTCACATTTAAATTTGATTAAGAATATTAGATGGGTGGGAATGTGGTTCAATGGTACAGTGTCTGCCTAGCAAGGGCAAGGGTCTGATTTAATCCTCAGCACCACAAAAAAAGAAAAGAATATTAGCAGTGGACAATGTCTATAACCTCTTTATGTTTTGTCACTGACTATTGAAGTAAACATACCTACAGAGTCGCTGGTTGTAATATCAATTCCATGTATGAGGATGGCATTCAAACACTCAAGATTCCCCTTTGAGGCCACAACATGAAAGCTAAACAAAAAGAAAATATATTTGTTATACCACAGAAGCTACTAAAGGTATTTAAGTATTACAGTAATGTCATTCTTTACACACACACACACACACACACACACACACATTTTAAAGGCTACATTAGAATACCTATACAGGTTGGGCCTCTCTAATCCAAAATTCTGAAATTTGAAATGCTCCAAAATCCAATTTACATAAAAGGACCATGCATTTTAAGACTACGTTCTAAGATCTAGTGAAATATTCTAATAGTCAATAGCCTCAATAAGAGAAAAAATTTAAATTATATCATTAACTCTATTATTTCAATAGCAAGGCACTGGTTCTTGGAGTTTAATAAAAACATACTGAAATTTTTCTATTAGATTATTTTGTTTACTGTCAAATATATTGAAACTGACAAAACAGATTAAGTTAAAGCATAATGCTGATGCCAAAGACAGATCAAAACATTTATCCCTTGTCTTTAGACATAGCAAACTAAACTTGACATGGAACAGCCTTCAAAACAAGCAAAATTACCCTGAAAAGCAACAAAAGAGCTGATGGGTCTTCTTAGTGACAGGTCACTAAAGTGACCAATGACTCCACCTAATTTATCTTCTTGCTTATAGACTTGTATGGTTGACTTATTCCATTATTTCTTTGATCACCTAATACTTTATTAATCAACAAACATTTATAGAAACTGTGTTCAGTAAAACTGACCACATTCAAACTAGTAAATACACTAGGAGCTCTTGGCAATGGACATTGAATTCAGGTTAAAACAGAACCAAGGAGCTAAACAAGTACAATCACCACCCTGCAGATGTCAGGAGACAAACGACATGGATGTGCTCAGCCAGGTGTCTGGACACAGGTACATTCTGCATCACACTCACACCAGGGGTTTCCCTGGCCATACCACTGAAAACTGCTATGCTCGCCTAGTCCCTGAAACCTTAGAACGGCCCCCCCATCCCTGCCTTTATTATTTTATTCAGAACTTAACATCTTCATTATATAAATTCAAAGTTCATTTCCTGTGTTGTCTGTCAGTCTCTCCCCACTCAACTGTAGATTCAATAAAAGCAGAAATTTTTGTCTTTTTTGTTTCTTATTCTGTGCTCAGAACCAAGTTTCAAACAAATGTGGTCCCTTAAATATATGAATAACTAACTGGGCATGGTGGCACTTGCCTGTAATCCCAGTACTTTGGAGACTGAGGCAGGAGGATCGCTGTAACTTTGAGGCCAGCTTGGGCTACATAGTGAGTTCAAGGCCAGCCTAAACTACATACTGAGACCTTGTCTCAAAACAAAACAAAACAACAATAAATATATATACATATATATATATATGTATATATATGTATATATATGAATAACTAAATGCTTAGAGACAAAATCTGAAGATAGCTTGCAAATTTACTTTCAGATATTATGACACTCAGTCATGTGACTCTATTAGCATCATACCAGATAAATGCAAACTACAGACCAAACACTCCTAAGTAAGACAGGTTTGTGTACAACTTGAATTACAGAGAAAGAGAGGTTTCTTATAAAGGGAGCATAGGGTTCTTAAGAGTCAGATTGGTTCTCTTTTCAGTAGAAAAAATAAATTAAGGCTGAGGGTATCATTTAATCTCTCTACAACACTGATATAGCAAATTATACTATTCAATGAACTACCAGAACCTTTTTAGGAACACTGATTTACTTCATACAATGGTATTAGTCTCTGAACCATCCTGGTGGAAACCACTTATGTTTGCTTGCTTGTATTCATTTCTTTAGTCACAAAACTTGGAAGATTTCTTTCTTCAAAATTAACATTATGCAGATAACATACTAAAGGACAGAAATCATAACAAATCTACAATGCAGTATTAATGCTGGCATGCTATAAATAGTAGATGTGCTTCAGAAAGATGTATTAATCATTAAAATGTATGCAGAGTTGTAAAAGGAAATATGAAAAACTTTCACAGAAACACTCTTTTGAAATTAAAAAATCAACTGTAAGTTTTCTTTTTAAAAAACAAGACATGGACTCCTGCTTCCATAATGGAAGAGACACATAATTTGGACAATCACTACCTCTGAGGACAACACAATATAAGCATCTGCTTGAAGGCATCAGTGAGCCAACAATAACAACAACAAACAAAATCTCACTAGTCCAGGACGCAATCAGAGACAGAAGTCCAGAGAAGTGAGCTTTGTATTTGGGGCCCCTTTTTCCCTATAATAATCAGCATTTGCTGATTCCAGAGAAAGCAGCTGAGAGGCTGAACACTAACTTTGACAGGAAGGAAGTCAGGAATTGGAATCCACAATCCTGCCACAGCTGGTGGCAGGGATTCCTGGTGACCCTTCCCGACCTGGGGTACCAAAATGATACCACATTTTTATATTCTACTAGCACAAAGAATCCAACTCAAAAATGAATCTTGGATCAAAAATCTCAAACAAAATCTCAAACATTCATTTAAAACACTAAAAGTATAGATAAATAGTATGAAAGTATTAAGAAATAAGGTTTCACTGAAGAATTTCATCCCAAGAAAGATTTCCTTCATCTTTTAACATCTTAACACTTGGTAAAGAAAAAACTGGAAAAAAAAAATCACTTGTAGATATTAAATTGTCACTATTCGTACTAAGCCATATAAACATCTTTAAATTTAGCAAAAATAGGGGCAGGACTCAAAATAACCAATGTTTCTGTAGCTATCAAATTACCACTTGATAAAACTGAGGCACTATAAACTTAAAACTTTTCAAACTTTATTGCTTTAAAAATTAATTTATACAGGTTGCAGCAGACTAATGATGGCCCCCATGTTTGCTTCTAGAGGAGTTAATAAAATTTACAATCTGCCTTTACTAATAAAACAAATATGTATTTACTGCAACTACCACCATTAAAAAAAAACATTTTTGATCATGCTTCACTATCTTTACTATATTTAAATATCTAAGCATTCCAAGGTAGTGACCTACATGAAACATTAATAATTTACTTCCTAATATTCAGTTCTATATTTAGTATCTGGTCTCCAGTTATAATATTCTGAATACATTCATAAAAGACTGAGGAATTTTTGGAAATGAGACTTTTTACCTCCAACTTTGGAAGGGTTCCCAGATAAGGCATTAACTGCTATAATTATAGAGGGTCCTAACAGAATCTAGGTCTAACCTTTAACTCAAATGCTCCCCACTCTGGAAAGGAAGATGAGTGATAAAGATTGGGAAGAAGAGGGGCTAACATACACATTCACAAGCATATAAATAAGCCAATAGTCCCCCTCACAACACAAAAACTAAAGAGTAAAATCAACTATCTACCTAAACCACACTACTTGTTCTGCCTCCTTTGTGCACTAAAAATTCTCACTTAATGATTCAAGTAAGAAAATGAGGATGAGGGTGGGGTACAATTCACAAACTCTTCAAAGACAGAAAGCATGAGTTCACATGTGATTTTTCATGTGATTAGAACAAATTACTACTAACTTCTGTAAACTTCTTCCTACTTTTACATGGCTGCTTTGAAGAACAAATATGGTAAGGAATATGAAAAGGCTTTTAAGTGAAAATGCACCAAATAATCATAGGCTATGATTTACCATGGGACCTAAACAGCCAGATCAGTGGATAGGATTCTGGTGTTCTCTCTCTATCTTGGACATCTTTTAAATTCAGAGTAATAATCATTTTGAAAAGCTAAGTAGTGTGAATTTTGGTAAATAAAGACTTTCTAACAAAAAGTTGATAGCCATAATTCACAAATTTCATCTGTATCCCAAACCTCTTCAGATGTGCCCTTGCCATGGGGAACACTTACGCAGATCTGCCTTCCACATCTAATTTGCCTGGGTTGACTCCCTTCTTAGCAAGGATGGAGGATACTTTTTCCACATCCCCTCTTTCTGCAGCTTTCATCAATCGGTCATCATATTTATTCCAATCAGCCGCATGCTACAAAAGGAGAAGGGCATATTGTGTTAGTAAGATCTTCTAAAGGAGGGGAAAGTAATACTGCACAGTACATCATTCATTTTCCAATTGCTTTCCAAATGTTTCTTTGCTGTGCTAAGTTCACCAGAACAGCAGAGTTACACAACCTTCCTGAAGCAGGAGAAGTATTCTCTTTGCCTTTAGGGCAAAGAAGAGAATTAAAAATCACTAAACACCCACCTTGAGCCAGGCAGGAATGACTCAAACAACCCCAGGGCACTAAAATTATCATCTCTACTTAACAGATGAAAAAGTCAAGGCCCTGGGGACATTATGTGATACCTAAGTGGCCAAGACCAACCTCAACTTCTAAGGTCCCCAAATCAGTGTGCTTTTCCTATCCTCTAACTCAGACTTTCAGATTTGGTTCTGCTTACAGATAGGTCCCCAGGACTCTCAGAGGCAGTGAAGTTCTGTATATATTTTAAGAAACTATATTCCTCTCCTCCTTTACTTATTTAAGAGGTACTATGAGAAATATATTTATGGAGGCACTTACATATACTCAATAGAGAAAGCAATTCATTATGCTTACATACTAAGATAAAAAGAAACTTCTATACAGAAAAAAATTAAGACAAAGTATTAATTCCTTAAAAATAGGAATACAGATGATTTTCATTTACATTCAACAAATTTTGCTTTTATAAAAAAAGATTTTTAATTTTAACAGAAACTGCACATGTATTTAAAAGTATGATCAAAGACAAATCTTTTTTTTAAAACAGAAGAATGCATCACACAAATATATACTTTAATTGTATCGAGGTTATCTTTGGCTTTGCTTGGAGAAAGTATATTCAAGATATTGTGAAGCCTTTTTGAGTCTTTTCCCAGTAAACAGAAATATCAAAACACGGAACACAAATGCATATTATTTTAACAACTAAAATTTTGGTCTTTTAAACTATACCAACAAATCTCTCTCAAGGGCCTGTAGTCTACTCTCTGAGTGTATACTTTTAAAAGTCTGCCTAATAAATTTCTTTATGACTCTTTAAGTATAGATATATTTATAAATGTTTTGTATGTATAATTAATATTTATAATATAAACATTTGTATATTAATATTATATAACATATTTATCTTTACTACTAATTTCTGTGCTAAATCCAGCTATTTCCTATAGAACAAAAATACTATATATTTTTCATATAACTTACAAAGAAAATCCTATGCCCATAAATACCATAATGAACCTCTGGAAATAATAAATCACTTGCAGATCCTCTAAATGTTTGACCAATATGATTATTTTATATCTACTACTATCTCCAAAAGAAATGAAAAACATTTACTCATTTTCTAGCTAAATGTCAATGTACTCATTAAATATTTGAAATAAAAAAGATGAAAATTGAATATTAAAAAGATGACTATATTAAAATTTTTATTCACCCTTGCATTTGTATTTGAATGTAACCTAGTCCACCTACTGGAAAAACACAAGAATTGTTTCAAAATTGGTTAAATTCAGTGATTCACCCACTTCCTCCTAACTTTAAAAGTTCAAACTTCCAATTATAAGTAGAGAATAATGCTATTTATTGGCTCAAAATCTGAACTACATTTTAGGTATCACATTTCTTTAGCATTAGAACAAAACAGTTACTGCCTCTGATCTGATGAGTGGTAGTGGATATAGATCTAAGAGACACTGCACTTTCAAATACCTAAAGGATTAAGTCATGTTTAGCATACAAATACTTGCCCTATATTGATTAGTTTATCCCTACAAGTAAAACAATCTTTATTTCCAAGTAAACTTGCTAGAAGAGAAAGGAAGTATTTAAATCACTAAAAATTCATAAAAATTCAAGGCCAGGCTTTTTAAAAAAAAATTAAATGGGATTAAAAATTCATATTAGCAAGTGATTTTCAGTTCTATTTCATCAAACACCACTTTCATTTGTGGTCCAATGTCAATTAATACAATGTCAATTAACTGCTCAATTAATAACATTCTGCCCTGTGCTTTTTAAACCCAGAAAAACAAAGTAATTTTTGTTTTCTATCACAATAGCAAGTCAGGAAGAAAATAACAATATAGAAACCAACATCAATAAAACGGTACATTTTTAAACAAAACAGTTCTGAAAGCCTAACCCAGAATCTTCGGTTACCCTGTTCTACTGGGTTACCTACTCTGTTCCTAGGAGCACAAGACAGCCAACAGTTCATCATAGGCAGGGTTTCGTTTCTTGTTTCTAACAGCAAACGACTCAGCATTAAGTTACAAATCTCTGCAGCAGCTCACAAAGCAAGCCCTCAGACGAACTGCTAAGGAGAGACTCTGTCCCTCACATGCTGTGCTACACTTAGCTTGGATCTCTAACGATATTTTCTTCGTCTTCGGGATCCTTCTCCGCCTTCATAACGCTTGGAAAGTATCTTCCTTTGCTGCGCAACACTTGAGGGCAGCCCCAAGTCAGGTACTGTAACTCCTCTATTTCTTATTCTTTAGAAGCTGTCTCTCAAAAGCTGTCCCTTTCAGGGACCCCACTGGAAAAGGTGAATAGCGCTCTGCATCCTGCTGCCTCAGCATTGAGCACAGACGCCGCTGCATGATAAAACTGGCCACGTCTGAGCTGTCCAGTAAAAAGTGTGCGTGCAGCCTGTCTCCCATTGGCGGGCTCTATTTTAGATTCCATAGGACTTGACAGCTGACTGATAGGAAGGAGCAGCTAAGAATATATTGTAAAGGCATGCTTCTCCTCTGAGTAATAGATTTCAGGTCTGCTAGGGAAAATGACTCAAACATGTTGTAAAACATGCTTATTATATCAGAACAACTCGTGTGACATAATGACAACACTGTTAAGAGACAAATTTGGTTATTCTACAAAACAATATTTAAAACCAGTTTCAGTCTTAGGATCATCTATCATAAAGTTATAATAGCCTTGAAAAGCAGAATCTAAAATTCTATTTAAAGCAAATGTGTGTCACATTTTAATTTAGGGAAATGCATACACACAATAACACTTTCAAATTTTCTCCATTTTAGTACCCCAACCAGACCAGTCTCATTCTGCATACAACCAGGTTTCAGCTTACAACTGCTGCCAGTCTGTCTCCTCGAATGCTAAATGAGAACAGACAGAAGCACTGCCAAGACATTAAATAGACTACATCATGATGAATACTTTTCAACATATTTTAAATTTAACTCAGTACTCTTAATTTCCCAGTTTAGCACCCTGCCTGTTATAACAAGTAAATATTTTATCAGTGAAAAGTCAAATTATCTGGATTTAGTGGATAAAAAACAAACTGATTAAACACTAAAGGAGGCAAATACATATTAAACACTGAGCTACAGACTATAAATGAAACTCTGTTTGGAGACAAACCATATAACTTCTCCACCTTCTTACAATATCCATACTCATACCAATATTCCTCACATTACCAAGGCCAGTGCATCTGCAAGTTTAGAGTGTTGTTTCTTTAAAAAAAAATTTTTCTACCTACCGCAATGCATGAGAATAATTTATAGTTCCCCCAAAAGGACACATTCAGGAAAACTGTTTTATGGGAATGCAAAACATTCCAACAGAAGTGTTTTTCAGAAGGTGGTAACTGCTATAATTATAGATCAATAAGAAACTCATTTCCTACTATTTCAATTTAAAACATTAGGCCTATATTCTAATTATAAAATACCTAAGGTCACACATCATAATGCATTATTTTTAAAACAATTTTTTTTTCCAAATCACATGAGCTGTCACAAAGGATTCATGTGGCTGGACCCAGAGACTTCACCCAGACTCAAATCTGGGCTAGAACCCAGGCGTGTTCTTTGGTTAACAAAGCAAGCACATTCTTTCTTGAAACAGGAAGAAAAGGAAATAAAAAGAAGGGGGAACCTGTGATGAACAACAGAAGCCATGGAAGAAGCTGTCCCCGTTCAGGAGACGGGTTTTGTGTCCCCTAGTGGACAAGAGCTGTCCTGTGACCCCCCCAACCATCTGTGACTTCATCTGCGCCTGCTCTTGCTCCCACTATCATCACTGTTTCCCAAGAGCCCTAAGCAAACTCCTGCCATTGCTGTCCTGTCCCCTGTACCTTATAAAGTTCTTTACTCACTTTCATTCAGGTTCTTCTCAAATGTCACCTCCTCAAGGACGTTTTCTCAGACCTCTATATCTAAGAAGCCCTGGGCCAGGGATTTAGCTCAATGGTTCTGCCACATGCCTTGCAAGTTCAAGGTCCTGAGTTCGATCCCCGGTACCAAAAAAAGAAAAAAATAAGAAGCCCTGTCTTGAACTCTATCCTCTGCCTTTGTCCTTTTCTTCAAAGTGCTTAATAGTGTTTGTCGTTATAGCCTGCATTTACTGCCTGTCTCCCCAGTACCTATTTAATTTGACTAGATATCTAAGGTCTTTGCTATGTCTGTTTTGAAACTATAAAACTGATTTTTAAATAAGTCATTTGTAATCACTAGATTTGGACCCACATTAAGGACCGCAATCCAAATCTACTTCATGAATCCACTTTCTCTTAAAACAAATTGTTAACTAGGTCAGATCTGGAACACACATTTACTAGAACACAGTTTCCCAGTAAACACTCCATATTCAGACAACAAACATCTATTGATCTGAGTCATGGCAGAAAGCCCTTATGATTGCAACTGAGCCAAGACCTTGCTTCTAGTCAATAAAAGACCTTTTTTGACCCTTACTATATATCTACATCTTGAGTCTTTTTTCATTACTCAACAAATCTCACTGTACCCCTCAGAAAGCACTGTAAGTAGCAGTTAAAGAATATTTTTTGGAGTCAGGTAAACTTGGTCCAGATTCCAGCTCTGCTACCTACCTGCTGTGTACTAGTAGGAGAACTCATCTGTACTTTCTGAGCCTCGGCTCCCTCAACTACAAAGTAAGGATAACAACAGAAAACCTATCTGTAGAAAATCAAAGAATTAATGCAGATGAAAGGTCTCAGCACTGTGCCTGGCAGATATTAAAGTCCAAATCTGGAAGGCACTGGTGACACTCCTCATTGAAAATACTGAACAGAAAAAATTATTTTAAAAATTAACAAAGAAGTAAAAAGAAAAATTCAAGCATTTATTTTGTCTTTCACTTCAAGACTGCTGCTCTGGTCTGGACAGGTCTGTTCCCCCCAAAACTCATACTGAAATTTGGTCCTCAGTGTAACAGAGTGGGGCCTTTAAGAGGTGACTAGCTTTCTAAAAGAGATTTACATCTTTCCGGCTGGATTGGATTAGTTATCAGGAGAGCTGGCTGTTTTAAAGGGAGGCTGCCCTCATACTGTGCCTCTCTGTCACATGTTCATTTGCTCTCCTGCCTTTTGCAGTGCTACCACAGAAGTGGACCAGATGCCTCCAGAACTCTGAGCCAAAATAAACTACTTTTGTTAATTACCAAGGTATTCTGTTATAGCAACACAAAATGGACTAAGACATGCCAATTGCAAGGACCAAGGTGTGGCTTGTGCTGACTAGGAATGGCTACATATCACAGTTCCAATTACCTCCTCCATTAGTATGGTTAATTTGCCAGAGCAGCCCACAGAACTCAGGGAAGAACTTTATTTAAATTTACTCAGTTATGAGAAAAGGTGTTATCAGGGATCAGATGAAAGCCACAAATCAAGCAAAGAATGTGGCAGGGGTCTAGAGGCTTGTTACTATCTCCTGGAGTGCCATCCTACAGGGACCTCCCTCTGTTTGGCAACCAGGAAACTTTCTGAACCCTGTCTTTTTGAGTTTTGTTTTGTTTTGGAGACTTCATTATGCAGGGATGATTAATTACATTACTGGTCACTTGTAATCAACTCATCCTTTAGCCCCTCAAAGCTCTCCAGAGATTAAAGGATTGTGTCTGCTATCAGGCAAATGTAGGCAGTTAGAGAATTATTAGAGGATCCAGTTGTTTTGACTTCTTACCCAGTTTTCTTTTTTTAAATTAAGCTAGTTCCACTTCTCTAGTCATGTGAAAAAAATCTTTGACATAAAACTGCAAATATCTTTTCAAAATTTAAACATAATAAATTCAAATGGTCTTTGTAGCAAAAAAGGATGAAAATCTTCACATTGGCATATGCAAGCTTTTCTGAAGCACCTACTGCATGTCTAGCACGGCACTGAGAACAGAGCAGTAAGAGAGACTTTGCCTAATGGGGAACTTGATGCTCTTGGGGGGAAACACAGAAAATAAACAACCAAGGAAAAGAAGAAACTACCAGGTAAGTATAAAAAAGAAAGAGCAATAGGAACGCTGGAGGAGAAGGTTAGGCTGGGTAATCGTGAAGGGCTGTTTTGAGAAGGTGATAAAGATGGTGAGCTCAGAATGACAAGAACCAGACTGTGAGGATTCACATTCCAGATGGAGGGGCCCACTCTGAATGGAGCTCGGCATATATGCAAGAAAGCCATGCAGAATACAGAATCAGCAAAACAAATCAAAGGAGATCAGGGTACAGGGGAAGGCAGGCACCACCGGATCTAAACTGGGATTTCTGTTTTACCATATTTTTCAAAAGAGACGTCTTCAAGGATTGAGATAACTGCCTTTTTATGATGTTCTTTTGGTCACTTTAGAATGAAGCCTAAAAAAAAAAAATACATCCTAACACACTATTTTGTTTTTCATTTCTGAGAACTGACACTGAGCAATAACCAGCTGAATCTTAACTTGCTTTGAAATGTTTACAAGACTAAGACAGTTATTTTAATACATCAGATATAATAATCAACTTCACCCACTTCAGTCCTAGATAACTATACTAAAGCCTCCACCATAAAAAATAGCACCTCAAAAACAATCACAATCATATCCTCAAGATAAGGATCTTTAGAAAGAATATAAATCTAAACAAAATTTCCAATGGAAAAATATATGTATATCCTAAATAAAACATACATATATGCAAATCCTCCCAGAATATCTAATTGAAATGAAATACACAGGCTCCAATTGTAACCTCTAATTACCAACATTCCCCATTACTAAGCCCAATATAGTCTCTATCACAACTGAAAACTTAGTAAGCAGCAGACAGCAAACCTCACAAAACATGAACATTCCTTAAAGATTAGGTTGCACAATTAACTGTTGTACAGTTCACTGGATTGATGATAGTTAGAAATATTTCTCCCATTTTTATTTAGTCCAAAGGTTACTCATTTTCACTCTTATATAACAGCAAATTAGAGCTTATGTAATAGAAAAGGAAACAAAAGTTAAAATAAACTAGGAAAACAAAAACCATACATCTAGCTTCTTTCTCCCTGACCCCTGACTATTCTCTTTATGGTCTTTCCCTATCCTTATTGAATGATGCCCCACCCACCTCTCTTAGCCTTCCACTGTATGATCTGAATCTATACAGTTAGGACTCCATGCAACAAAGAGAGAAAAGGAAAAATTATATTCTAGCAATCATTTTTCTGACCAAAGCAGTAACAGGTTTACTCCAACTTTATTGGAGCTCTCCATATTAAGATGTCAAAGACAAAAAAGATGAGGAGATGGAGGAGGACGAAGAGGAGGATTTAAATAATAAATCTAACTTCTTCAGGGCAGATCTTAAGTGGCTATGAATCTGAAAAAATGTTAAAGAACTGGAATCAGGAAGACTTAGAAGGCAGTGTTTTGTCAAGATTTCTTAACCACCCAACTTGATTCTATTCTAGACTGTTGTATAAATACCAGACTGTCTACCCCTCCTTATTGCAGGTATTTGTTCCTTCATTATAACTGTCTAGGCACTCAAAAAAGTTTATTAAAAATATAGGCCACAGTCAGACGAGGTGGAGCATGCCAGTAATCCTAGCACTCTAGGTGGCTAAAGTAGGCCTTGATCTCAAGTTCAAGACCAGCCTGGGCAATTTAGCAACTTAGTAAGAACCTGTCTCAATATTTTTAAAACAGTAAAACAGGAGCTAGAGATACGGCTTAGTACAAAGACCCTGGGTTCTGGGCCAAGAATTTAGCCTGCCTCACAAGTGCAAAGTCCCAAGTTTGATTCCCAGTACCAAAAAAAAAAAAAAAAAAACGGCCCTGGGTTCAATCTTCAGTACCCCAAAACACACACACACACACACACACACACACAAACACGAACAAACTGAAAGTTGCTTCTCAAATTCAAAAGGTATTCATCTTTCCTTAAAAGAAGACTCATTAAATTCCAAATATATTCATAGATCTTAAATAGAACAAATTATAATGCATGTCATGTAAGAATGAAGCTCTCAGGCCAGGGATTTAGCTCTGTGGTTTCGTCGCCTGCTGCGCAAGCGCAAGGACTCGAGTTTGATCCCCAGTACCAAAAAAAAAAGAATGAAGCTCTCAGCTTAGTTAAATAAGATTTTGTTCAACATCTTCTTTAAAATGTAAAACAATTATAAATTGGAAAAAATAAAATTTATGCTTTAATATGTTTAGAAAAATATATTCAAATTAGAGTTTTGTAAATGCTTAAGTGTCATGAGCAAAAATTTTTTAATATAAAGGTAAAAAGCAAGGAAGGTCTACTATAGCCTTCCATTCCAACACACACCAATGAACACAGTAATAAATTTGATGAGTTTTAGGGTCTACAGTTTTTGTTTACTGACCTTCTGAACATTTACTGACTTTTTTTTTGGTACCAGGGATCGAACTCGGATCCTTGCACTTGCGCAGCAGGCAGCGAAACCACTGAGCTAAATTCCCGGCAATTTGATGAGTTTTAACAAATATTTTTGGCAATGATGTCTAATATAAAACAGGACCGTTTAAAAGAGCACAAAGTAAAGAGCAAAACAAATATACTTGTTAAAGAGTTTCTGACAGATCCTGACCACAATGAAGAACAACAGAAAATATTTTGTATTCTTTTGGTTTTTTTTTTCTAAGTTTTGCAAAGAAACTAAATAAAAATGTTTGCTAGAATTCAAAAGACTCCTCAAGCATTAAACTGAAAATAAGCCTTATAATACTAGCCACTACTTTTAGAGTTGCATATAAAAATAGGGGGTTATGGAAAAGTGTATCTTTTGTAAGCATATTAGAAGTTAATTGTTTTTCCTTTTATATATTAAATATTTCTACATAATTGCATAACTCTTCCCACA